ACGACAACCTGACTCAAAACCCCTTATGAGTGGCCGTCCAAGAAACGATGATCATGGTGACGTTGATTACAGATTTGACCAGAATCCCTCTCAAATGTGAGTTAATAAGGCATGCTACCAATCGATTTCTTGCTTGTTGTCGCTTTTCATATGACAAATTCTTATTGGTGCCTAATATTTTGATGTAACTCCTGTCTGTTCTTATATCCCACATTAGCAAGATTAAGCTTTTGATATATGAAATTAGGTTTCCTATCATATTATTTGAAATATTTACAACTTGTGTACCTTTCGTTATTAGATGAACCTTTGGGGTAGCCATATTTAAGGCATCGTAAATTTGAAATCTTTTTAAATAATACGTAAATATTTTGGCCATTTTTGTTTATTTACTAATAACGACCACTCGCAGTGAATTTTATAGTCCGATATATGCTTATTTATTGCTCAGTGTCATTGGATGGAAAACATGATTTTTATGTTAGAGCACCATTTATTAAAACTGATAAGTAGCTGCGCTAATGGTTCTCGTTTTTTTTTCGACTGCTGGAATTTTAATAAAGAAACATGGAAATGAGTTGTTTTGAGAAAGAAAATGTTTATCTGTTACTGATTCCTTGTTGTATTAAGTTAGTGGTATCGGTTTTCTCTCTAAAATCTTCACGTTAAACAATTTGAACTTTTCTGCCTGATTTCTGGAAACCAACAAATAGACTGGTAGGTTGTTATTAACTTCTGTTACTTGGATTCCGTATCACTGAACTACTGCAATTCTACTGATTTGAAAATATACACTCATAATTACCTTATTTTATTGCTTTAAGACTAGCTCACGTACATTTCGAAGTCACTGCTTCATATTCAAAAACCCAGGTTCTGTTAGTTGCCCCAACATTTTAATATCACCATTTAGAGCTTTTCCACAACCTGTTCCGGTCACTATTCTTTGTAGTATATGTAATGCACAGCTACTTCAGCCAATGTGTGGCGCATATGTATTTGGTGCCCTCTTGTACCAATATTTATATGTTCAAATAAATAAATAATACTTCAGCCAATTTATATGGTTCCATCTTTCTGATTCTCAACTAACCAAACTGTACATTGGAGATTTCGGTTGACAAGTACATGTTGATCCTCAGTAATGTCATCTACACTACGTTACTTGTAGGTTTGTTTTGGCCGACATCTTTAGTGTCTAATGAAGCTAATGAATAAACTTCGGAGTATCAGGAAAAATATTACTAATCTTTCCTAACAATGGCCCATATGAAGTTATTAAGATACCTTGGTAGCTAAATACATTTCGGCAGGAATACAAAAACCTGTTCGTTATTCATTAACCTACACCAATTATCATCACAAGCAAGTATTCATAGTCCTAATATATGGATTTATTTAGTCAATAGTTGTGTCTTGCTTTGGAGCACAGAAATAAATGGCGTTATAAGGTAACAGATATTCAGTTATAAATACCCTTACAATACCCATTTCTGTACCAAAAATATATTTAACTGATTTGTTAAGCATTGGTCTATATATTCAGATTTCAGGCACACTGTGTAGAGGATAAACTACTGCACGGCTGCCCAAAACAGTAGATATAGTAAAATGCGACCCTCTAACCTACTGGTTAAAAACCAAGTGCTTTGACCTGTTAGTCACCGTTCCACAAAAGGTTAGGCGACTGTGGTAAGCTTATAATAACTCATATTTGGAACATGTGTCAGATATCGAATCTCCGTCTTTGATGGGTAGCACTTTTTAGGGTGAGATGAGGTTAAAGTAGGTAAAGATGACGTCAGTCCGTTAGGCCACTGACAGTAAGCCTGTTGTGTTGGGAGATGCTTTACATGGTGAGCTGACAGGTTGGTAGTCTATCACCCTAAATGGCGTCGTTGAAAAGTGGCATCCATGGTATAAACGTCTCTACTTCTCATTCTTATTTTTTAACGTCCCACTTTTGTACTCCTTGTTTAGTGACATCAATCTATGTTGGTTTGATGTAACGAAATATACTTATATTAACAGTTAATTACTCAAATTAGTAGACCCAGTAGTCAACTTAAAGTTGTGTACCTAGTACGGACTAGTGAGACTAAGCTATTGCTTAAACCGAATAAGGTAAAATGAAATTATTATCTATGAACATTTGTTTGAAATATAAGCAACCGCACCACCGAACACTTCATTACCATTCCACACCACATATATACATTGATGGTAACGCTCAAGGTGCTTCATTCTCATGTAAAACAGTTGGTCCTATAGAGATACAGTGTAAAGTGCTAAGATGTGTTTAATTGTCATCACATCTCAAGCTTCGCTTGAGTGGCATCTATCAGTACATGAGACCACTTTTGCACATATAAGATCATACTACTTCGGACTTACGGTATTTCTGCAATAAAATTGTCAAACATCGATCTACTGATTCTTTGATTGTCAGTTAGGAGTGACACTATAGTAAAAATATACTGTCAACCTACTAATTGCTGGCTGTCCCATATTGGCTTTGGTCTCACAAAACGCATGATTTCTTTGTGGGGCACCTTCCAAATCAAAATTGATAGCGTCGTGGTGATAGATATGGGAGCAAATCATAATATTTAGATGTAACCTATATTCTTTCTTATTTAGTTTTCTCTTCACTCTGTTTATAAATTCATCTTTAAGTACAAGCAGGTACATTTTCTGGGGAACCGTCCAGTTTTGGGACAAGTCATGAACCAAAGGATGATGGGAGGTTAGACACAAATTTCCTTTATGGACTCAAAAATATTTCGAAATTTAGAGATGCATGTTCTATTTTCAGAATCTTCACATAATATTGCCAGTGAATTGGGCAATTAAAAAGGAATCTTCAAAAACCTTGACGTCAGTAGTTTCATCGTGGGTTGTTATTTGTCTAAACCACGCTTCTCAGTAATTTGGATCTATACATATCTTTAGTTCTGAATGATGTGCATCCACTTAAAGTAGGGAAATTAATGATACGACTAACCACCAACAGTCAATTTTAAACCGTATAACCAGGTTTTCATGAGTTCGTCATTCACTATTAAAACATTATTGTCAAGACGGTTCATCATCACATCTGTTACAAGCTCTACATCGACTGTGTTAGCGCTGCATTCTTACATTATTCTTCCATTGTATGTAATGAATATCTCGTATACCCCTGACTTTACGACGAAATTATCGCGGTCAACACAATCTATATGCGTTGGAATTTATTTAAGGGAACAATTTCTTATAATTCATTAAAGCAGAGTATTTTGTCATCATTTTGTGAAGCCTTAACAATTAGAAAATCAAGAGCGAGTGTCGCAAAACTTTGATGCTAAAGTAAATAGTAAAACCAACCACATTTTTTACGCACTAATGTTCCTCACCATTTGGCTACTAATTATATTATATATTCATTTGCAACGTTCATCTTTTTAAGGAATATATCATCTGAAAAAGAAATTGCTGCTCCTGGTTTCAGCCCTCAACGTATGCCAGTTTTGACGCCGAATCTTTTTGCTCCTGTCCGCACTCCTAGTCCTCGTCACTTCCGCCCAGAACACGACACTTTACGCGCTAGGGGGATTCGTCCGTTCAGCATGGTTCCTGGTGAGCAGATGCCTCAAAATGTGTATCCCAAAAATGACCGGTGTTTTCCTCCGCCGACGCCTTACGGCCCTGTACCATTTCAGTCTCAGCACATCATGCCTAATGTAACATGTCCACCTACAGTTAATGGATTTCGCCCCCCGTCACTGCTTGATACACCCCTTAGATGTCCACCTTCAAGAATAATGTCTCCGCGAATGCGGATGATGGACCCCGGAAGTATGAGATTTCCTAGGTTTAGACCTAGATGTGAGACGTTTTATGGGGCTGGCGCAAGGCCCCCTCCACCTATTCGGCCAACGTTTGATGCAGTACATGAAGAAGCCATAGTTAGTTCCGAACTCGACATGATGGCAGCTCTTCTTGCTTCAAGTAAAACGATGAATGACGACTGTAAAAACGGTTCGACTGTCCCCCCTTCGTCACCTACATGTGTGGGTGAACATAGCCTGCAACTCGAGAGTGCGAGTCCGCCACAAGTAAGTTATTTAAATCAGCACTTTTCATGATTGATTTGATTCAATGTATCTGCACGTAGTATTATGTTGCATTGCAAACCAGATAGAATACTTAAAAGGATATCAGAAGACTGCCATTTGAGGTGTCACTGGTAATAAATATTCGGAAATCAAAACCTAGGCCTTACATTGAATTTGATCTGCTATGATTCACATTGGTCCCGCCATAAAACTTGTTGCGGAATTAGTATTATATACTTTGAACTTGTAGCTAATAATAATTTGTCAGAGATGTGAGGGGTTTCCTTGTTCAATAGGTGTTGACTTACATTTCACTACATTAGTGTTTATGATGAATTTTTTCTTCCCCTACTATTTTAGCCTTCGAAAACCGAGACAGAAGCAATCCCTCCTAATATCTTGGTCGAAGATAGATCCGCACTTGAGTTTAATACGACTACTCAGATAGATGTCCTTCCATCCCAGGGTCCAGCACCTTGGCGCCTCATTCCTTTGGACATGACTGTCAAAATCCCTTATCCATTAATGGAGCTCCCTGTAGATGACTTGCCATATCGTTTCGAAGACCCAAGGTTGCGTGGCCAATTGACAACATTTAGACTTCAACCTCCATCAAAACCTTCAAGTGGTAGCGACTTAGAAAATTCAAGGTGCAATGATGAACCAGAAATACAAAATCACAACGAAACCAATGCCATTGGAACCAACGATGATAATCCAGGTGGTTTAACACAAAGACGACCCATCAAACTACAGTTGCATGAAATGGCTAACACCTTTGCTAATACTTCATCCGATCATTTACATGTATCTAGTCGGCAAGGTAATCGTTCTTACCTTGATGACCCGCGATTCCGAAGGCGAAGGATCATGGTTCCAACACCAACCTCCCAGTCAGCTCCAAACTCTCTCAATCAAGATAACACTAACAGTACACCACAAACTACACAAGAATGCTCAAACTAATTTATTTAAGATCTCGACCAAGCACTATCGTGCATGTAAATGAGTCCCAGCTTTATTTATTCCAATAATTTATTAAAATCGTCAACATGTACATAAATAAACCAACGTTTGAACAGATCAACTTCAAACAAGTTTCAGCCGACGTGTTTGTCCATATTTTATTCGTCTAAACTTCGAAACTTCCATATTGACTATTCCATTTCAGATACTGTTCCAGATCACTGGACGAATTACTTGCTCTAACTTGTCTGAAAGCAGCATGAAAGTCAGTTAATTCGACTGGTCTAACCTTAAAAAAGGAAAGATAAAAATGTCTGAATATTTTTAGGTGGCAATGCCAAAATGTTTGTTGTATCACCACATAACTAATACTAATAGGTTTAAAATTGAACGAGAAGTGTCAGAAACAGATTTAGAGAGGATAGTAATTTTTACTGGTAAACAGGTTATTTTAAGAATAGTAATGATTACAGATATTGTGACTAGGTTAAGCGTTTCACTTACTTCATCGCATGCTATATGCTGTATCGCTTCTATTGTCAGAGAGCGGATAGGTCCCATTGCAGCTTCTCGACAGAGATTTGCCATGTCTGCTCCTGAATAACCTTTTATGTTTGGAAAACACGATTAGTTATTTGTGCTATCATCAAGCAGTCTTGCAAAGGATCATCATCATATTGAATAAAATAGAGATGAACCTTACCAATAGTAAGTCAATTGACATTAAGTTGTAACATACAAATAAGCAGCACTTACCATCAGCACGATGAGCAATATCCCAAAAGTCGTCCTCTTTTAGCGTGTGGTGGTTTTGTCGCAGTAATCTTTGTACTATTTCCTTTCGCGCGCTCTTAGTGGGTAATGGGATATACAATCGCTTGACAAACCGCCGTCGGGCGGCCTCGTCAAGTTCCTGAGGCCTGTCGAATTCAGTAAAAAGTATAAACGGATATCGTTTTAGAAGCATCAACACTAAACAGTTAAATACATTTGGTCCGTAGAGTTGAGAGTCTACAACTTGTTACATATACCTTCTGAGAATCTGTTTAGAAGCTTGATTAGTTCAAGGAAATAGTTAACAGCACATAATTATTATCAACATAGTTCAGTACATATGCAACATTTACAGTGGTACGTAAAGACAGAGTAATTGCTTTCTATTTACGTGCTTTGATTTAAAGTGATTGGTAGTGCTTTGTTTTATAAATGCAACTGTTGTGCTCTTTTGGTATGAACAACGGGTGCATGAGATTCGGTTGAGATACTTAATGGTCAGTAAGATTGTGAACAAAAAAAAAGAATATATATATACATATATACCTGTTTGTAGCTCCAATGAAAAGTATGCGTTCATCATCATTTGTTGTTATTCCGTCCTAAAACAAAAATCATGCGTCTGAGATGCGTTAATATAATTGAGTGGCTTAGAGAAATACCGAGTTAGTGAACTCACTAGCTGTACTAAGAACTCTGTTTTGATCCGCCTGCTTGACTCATGTTCTGTGTCAGAGCGTTGAGTAAGCAGAGAATCAACTTCATCAATAAAAATGACAGATGGTTGGTGAATCCGAGCAATTGAGAACAATGCACGCACTAATTTCTCACCTTCACCAACCTAAAAACAACACGATAATAGTTTTTCAAGTTTAGTAAGTTGGGAAAAAGTAGTATAATAGTCTCTTTGTGAAAAGCACGTTTTTATTAAAGTAATAAAAGTAGCAAGTATGAGGTAAAGAATGATTTGCTTACCCATTTTGAAGTAAGAGATGAAGCGCTGATGCTGAAAAATGTCGAGTTACTTTGTGATGCAATACATTTACCTAAACTCGAAAAGAAATTTTGCACTTAATTCCAACGGTAAGTTGTGTCAACGTTTATTTGTGTGTGATGACGCTCACAGTTTACGCTTGCCTTCTTTAAGGTTGTCTATCTTGGTAAAAAACTAATTATGCTTTAATTATGGCACTAAATCTATCAGGTGATAAGACCATCTAACTTAGATGGCCTTTCTTATCATGGAGTAGTAAAGTGGATTAAGCAACCACTCACTGTGAGTGTCATACCATAATAATTGAATACAATACAAAAGTGTACTTTGACTTTTCATAACCTAAGACGTGCGTATTCAAAACAAACTTACCGATCAAAGTTTTCCCCGTTCCAGGCGGGCCGAAAAGAAGCAAGCCCTTTGGAGGTCCACGAAGCCCAACGAAAAGGTCCCTAAAGTTGAGAAAGGTGGTACAGGACGGTTGATAATACAGAAGAAAAAAGAGATTCTTAAATTTTAGCACAGTTAGGAAAGGTATCCACCAGTTTGTATATATATATATATATATATATATATACCATCAGACGACGTTTATTGCTAGGGTGTGAGAATTGTGTCCTATCATACCCAGATTGCTTGAATCACAAGTGTGTTACTAACGTAAAGTAGATTTTAACTTCAAATCAAAATAAGCCGCAAAGTTCTAGAATGTTTCCAGTAAAAACTAGTCACAGAAATTGCAGTATTTCCTAGGATTTGTTATGAAAACAACTGCAGGAATATACTGTCCATAACCGGTTTAATTCATTAAGTAGATTGTTCTTTTGTCGGACAGTTTCCCGTTAGTAATTTGCCTCACTAGTATCCCCTACTTTACTACAGTTGTCTAATTTCAAATTTTCAGTATCGGTAACATAAAATAAATTCACTTACTCATATAAGATTTGTGCGATAACAGCGTTCGTAAACGTAAACAGTAGATTGCGAAAATGAATGCTGGTTACAAAAGTTACTACATTTCCCAATCAGAAAAAGGGATAAATAATTCATTAGACAGACATGAGGAAGAAATATCACGAGTGGTTAGTCTAAGACTTTTAACATAATTCATTAAAAAGTGCTAACGTCTGTAGTGGTCAACAAGTTTCCTAGTATTTGAAAATACGGAGGTAACAGAGAACCTTATTGCAGTACGAAAAGGCTTGAGAATTTTCTGAACGGGCGACCATCTAATAGCACTGCAGAGATTGCGACCAACTGACTTTATATAGCACGTGGTGTCGGGTATAATAGAGCTTTTCTAATTATCTTATCTTTTCCTGAAGCGAAATTGTATGATACAAAATGATCAACTTTGCTATTGAAACCTCTGTTTGGTTGGGAGGTACAGTCATATTGAGGACTACCATTACATTAATGTCATTTAACGTGAAGTCTGTTGAAGACCGGACGAAGTAATGCCTATACTGCTGTATTCAAATTTTTCAGATAATTAATTCATATTTCATGAGTTTTGCTCAGTTACTATATAGACTGACCGCTGTTCCGATATACTTCATAATTTTATCAATGGACAATGAACTCTTGTTATACTAAACAGCTTTTTATGTCTAGAAGACGAATGTCGTTTTACAGTAAAGTTTTCTCTTATTACGTTTGTCCATACATATAATCTAAAATCCTTATTTTTCTCCTTAACACCAAAACTTTTAACTAAATGTATGATATATTATTATTTGACTATTAGGATAGACTGGACATTTTTTAAAGTGCGTATAAACATAGTTTACTGATATTTACATCTCAGTGGTTGTTGTTAAGCTATTAAAACAAAGATGAAACGTTTACTGTAAACACTGAGTAATCATACAAGTGATTTCAATATTGTAACGTGCCCACAAATAGAGTGATTCTCATACAACTTTTGTGCTGAAATATCCAGCTGATTAGTTTCCCTATCGATTAGAAAATGTATCTAAATCATACATTATGCCACTTATACTTCTACCGATAACGAGTTATGGTGGTAGCGAACACGGCTAGAACAACTTTTGTAGAGCGAATGTCCGGCGCTTTAACCGGGTTAGTGGACGCGAGGAGTTGGAAAATCCTGATTCCAAACTAATGGCTCCAGTATCCTGAGGGAACAAATGGCGTATGAACCAATTATTGGCTATCGGATACCATGGGATTGCATCGCCTTCCGTTGCTCCACTGCCTTGTGGGCCAGACGTTTAGGTCGAAGGCTCCGGGTGTGGCCCTCCTAAGAAAACCACCTGCTTCGCTTTGGGCACCCAAGCAGTATCACAGCCCTCACACAAACCAAATGAGATTTGTGTGGCGCATATGTATCTGGTGCCCCCTTGTACCAATATCTATGCGTTCAGATCAATAAAATTTGTAAACTGCCATTAAGTTTGATAGAATCCTATGAATTCACCCAAACGGATATGGCTTATGTATGAGACGACTGGATCTTTCAAACTCTACGTAATCCTGGCATAGTCAGGTGATAAAAGACATAATGTATTTGGGTTGCAGGTGAAAGACGTATAGGTATATGTTTATTATTATTTATTTATTTTAACACATAAGTATAGGTACAGGGAGGCACCAAAATACATATGCGCTACACAAATCTCAATTGATTTGTGTGAGGGCTGTGATACTGCCCGGGTGCCCAAACCGAAGCAGGTGGTTGTCTTAGGGGGCCACACCCCGAGCCTTTGACCTGAACGTCTGACCCACAAGGCAGTGGAGCATCGTAAGGAGATGCAGTCCCATGGTAGTCGGTGACCAACGATTGGTTCATACGCCATTTGTCCCCGCAGGATAATGGAGCCCATGTGACCATTGGTTTGGGGTCCGGTTATAGCGCCAGACATTCGCTTTTCGTCCTCTCATTTTTGTAAACAACACCCCCGCCACGAGAAGGCAGTGAGTAGGACTTCCCTGGCAGAGGCTATATACGCATGGCCATGTGAGAGCATTTCGAGAGAGAGAGCGGACTCTCCCCACTCTCGGCCGTACCAGGGCATTTGGGGGCATAGGTATATGTTATGACTCACGGTCTAAGCATTGGAAGTATTACAATTTCCTGCAGTGTTTTCTTAGAAAATTCAAGTCCAGCAATATCATCCCATGTAATTGAGCTCTTGGAATCCATTATCTATAATAACATAAAATAGAAATTGCAATATCACAAAATTGATTTAAAATCTCGAAAATAAAACTCCGAATCAAGTATTTTGTGTGTGCCATATGGATGATAATTTCGATCACAGAGCTTGTGTCTATTCTATGAGCAATTTAAAATTTTAATTATGACATATTCGGATAAATATAATTAGGGATTAAATCAAATAATGAGACCTGATTGTTTAAATTACATAAATAATGCCAGACTGGCATTATAATCCTACCATAAAGTAGTATTAAGACACGATATTTTTTAAAAGTAACATTACTGTGTAGTATTTTTCAGACCTTACACTCGTCTGTTGATAGTATTATTGATCTAATGTAAAGAAAGCCATCATGAAAACGTCAAAACTCTCACTTGTATTATATATTTATAGCTGTGATTGTGAATCCTGATTTGTTCCTATTTAAACAAAAATGTTGACATTCAGTCTAATTTCTAAAATAAACTTTTTAGTTATCAGATGGTTCACATTGTTGAAAACAATAGATATGACAGACAGTATTAAGATTTATGTATTTTCTGTGATTTCAAGGTACTTTCCGTAAAAAAATAAGTAAATAGTAACAGGTGGGAGACGAAATTGATTCTTCCGTAGTGCACCGTAAACAAGTATATGTAGCGAATATAATCTTAAACAAGTTTGTGTATAGATGATCGTGTTACGCTCATTATATGAAAAAAAACTGAGCACTACGTGGTTATAGAACTTGAGTACGACTAGTCAGTAAAAAAGTCTTCAGTTCATAGTAGTTTCATTGGTCGCAGAACACAAGACAAAAATGAAATAGATGTTCTCTGAAGCTAACTTTACCTAAGACACTGAAGTGGTCTATTGAATTCACATATAAGTCCCCAAGCTGCTACTTTAAAAAGTATTAAATTTCGACTATCTGACCTACATAGCGTCTTGCTGTGTTGATATGGTGTAGATAACGCAGTGAGTTATATGTTTATTGGTTTTCTATAACTAGAATGAATGTTTCATACTTATTTCGTCAATTAACAATCTGAAATCAATTCGTGATTTTTTAACCAACTATCATCTAGCTACACATTGAATGAATTTGTCAAACAGCTAATCATCATCACACAATCTAGCAACTTCACTTTTTCAACTCCACTGATTTATTCCCACACCGCACATCAGTCAAACGGTATGGTGAAGAATTAGATAACACAATGATAAGTGATTATTTAGATTGTTAAAAGCCGTTGAATTAAGAGATAAATAATCTCTGAAATATACTCATTTAAGTGTACCACAAAAAGCAGAAGCATGGTTAACGTACGTGTTGGTTTTTACCTAATGATGTTCAATACAGAATCACTGTATAGCAATCAACACACTTAGTACACTCAAAGTAAAAGTCAACAGGTGAGTAGTTAAGGTTGAATCAACACTTCTGTAGGCTTATATCACTATCATCAGGAGGGGTTTTGTGGAGATTTTAGTTATTTCAATAGATGAAATCATCATTCAATTGAAGCTAGACCACCATGGAAAACCTGGAAGCACTGGACGGCCATTTCGTCCTAGTATGGGACTCCTCAGACTAACCTAATGCTTGAGCGCTCGCGCACGAGACTGATAGGTCCTGGGTTCGAATCTCGCGGGGTGTGAGGTCTCGAATGCGCACTGCTGAGGAGCCCCATACTAGGACGAAACGGCCATCCAGTGCTTTCAGGTTTTCAATGGTGGTCCAGCTTCAATTGACTCATGATTTCAACTATTGAAATTATATCACTGTCAAAATTCTAATATAGAGTTCTGCATTTGATTAGACAAAACATTTGTGTGCTGAAACGACATATTACGTCTAAAGCTAAGATGAAATGGGCGAATATTAAAGAGAGAAATTCGCAATAACAGGTTCCAAGCCTTACAGGATCTACTGAAAGAAGAACAAACTACTATGAAGGATAACTGAAAAGGGGTCAAAGAAGCACTAACTTCAAAGTGTCAGAAGGTACTGGGCAACAAGTAGCATCATCATAAGGAATGGATCTCTATGTAAACCCTGGACGAGATTCAAAAAAGGAATAACAGGAAGGCAGCAATAAACAACAACTGAACAAGAACAGAAAAAGCCAGAGAACAAGCTGAATACTATGAAGTCAACAAACAAGTGAAAAATAGCATTAGAGATGACAAGCAGAAACATGTGAAAGACCTAGCAAAAACGGAGCAAAAAGTCGCAACAGAAGGCAATATGAAACAACTATATGACAACGAAGAAAATGGCAGGGAAATGTAGTAAACCAGAGTGACCGGTGAAGAACAAACGAAGTAAGCTAATCACCGAGATTCGAGAACAGATGGGTAGGATACTTCGAATAACTGTTGAAAAGACCAGCTCCATTGAATCCACCGACCATCGAGGCAGTACCTACAGACCTTCCTATAGCTGTCATGCCAACAACGATAGAAATCAGCATGGTCATCAGGCGAATCGGCAGGACCTGACGACATGTCGACTGGGGTCAAACGTAGAGGTAACCGCAAAATTGCTCTACATTCTATTCAGGAGGATTTGGAAGGAAGAACAAATGCTGACAGACTAGGAGAAAGGATATCTCATCAAGATACCAAATAAAGGAGATCTGAACAAATATGAGAACTACAGAGGCATAACACTACTGTTAGTACCAGGAAAGGTTTTCAACAGTGTTGCTGAGCCGGATGGAAGATTCAGTAGACGTCCAGTTTCAGGAGACATAGACTGCATTCCGCAAGGACCAATCGTGCACAAAGTCACGAAACTACAGATCATTGTTGAGCAATCAACTGAATGGAATTCGTCACTATACATGGACCTCCTCGACTATGAGAAAGCGTTTGACAGAGTGGATGGAAGAGACTCATGGAACCTTCTTCGGCACTATTGTGTACCCTAGAAGATCGTCAACATCATACGGAATCCATACGTCGGATTACACTGCAAAGTCGTGAATGGAGGACAGTTGACAAAAGCATTCCAATTGAGGACCAGACTCAGACAAGGCTGCTTACTCTCTCCCTTTCTCTTCCGGTGGTTGACTGGATTATGAAGACCTCCACATCTGAGGAGAAGCACGGGATGCGATAGACGGATTGCAGGCAGCTAGATAATTTGAACTTCGCTGATGACATAGCCTTTCTATTCCACACAAATCAACAAATGCAAGTCAAGACAAATAGTGTGACAACAGGCTCTTTAGCAATAAGCCTCAACATACAAAAAGCAAAAAACAACATCCTCAAATACAACACGGAGAACACCAACCAAATCAATCACACTTGATGGACAAGCTCTAGAACAGGTGGAAACTTCGTGTACCTGAACAACATCATCGATAAACAAGAATATGATGCAAACGTAAAGGCAAGGATTGGCAAAGCAAACACAGCATTCCTACAGTTGAAGAACATATGGAATTCAGAACAAATGTCTGCAAACCAACATCAAAGTTACAGTCTTCAATAAGAACGTCGAAATAGTCCTACTGTTCTGTATGGAGCTGAAACTTTGACAACAACTACTACAACAATCATCCAAATTGTACAAGCATTTATAGACAATTGTCTATGCAAAATACTCAATATCGATTGGTCGAATACAATCAGTAACAATCTACTGTGAGAAAGAAGAAACCAGCTTCCAACTGAAGAGGAAATTAGGAAAAGACGTTGGAAGTGATACGGACTCACGTTGAGAAAATCACCAAACTGAATCACGAGGCAAGCTCTAACTTAGAATCGTGAGAGGAAAAGGAAAAGAGGAAGGCTAGAAAACACATTGAGTAGGGAACCAGAAGCAGACATCAAAAGAATCAATAGTAACTGGAATGGATTTTCCAGGACAGAATTCGATGGAGAACGTTTGTGGGCGGCCTATGATACCCCCATGAGGGGGTAACAAGCGTAATTAATGGTATAATTCAAAGGTCAAAAATAGGGACAGCTCAACACGAAATGTTCATCGAAGTTGTGGGATCGGGAATTCGGCATAACTAACGGTCGAAATAGTAAGAACAGAGCCAGGAAGCGATGAGCAACAATTAAGCTAGTAAAATATTTATCACAATATCCTACTAGTGTTTCAAATATTCAAGTAAGAAATTTATAAGTAAGAGCTAGGCTCGTGCATAACTGTTATTTAGGTGAGTAAAACCAGCGAAAGTACAATCATAATCAAAGTAAAGCCTGGGACAAATGTGCGTTAGCCCAAGTTACTTTATCACTTCAATACAAGATGAAATTAACAAAGGAAATCCCAAAACAGTTATATCAGCCAATCAAGGATAATGAAAACAATTGTATGAAGAAAAGGAATGAATATGAAGCATAAAAATTAAGAAATAATATTGAAGCTCAAAACTTAAAAATTGGTAACACAACTAAGACAAGATCGCAGACATTTGTGTCGTTATAGCTGTTGTGGTTAATAACCATCTTACTGTGCTAACACGCTAATGTTTCTTGTTTTGGCTTTTTGCTTTATTATGTCGCTTTTTCATCAATACCGTTAGAAATGAGCAACTGCAGATGCCTAAAAAACAAATATATATTGCTCCCTTTAGTTGTGTAATGAAATACAAGTGTGTCTTGTGTTTACTGAACAGATTGACACTTTGATCAATCAAAACATGATAATTTTAAATATTCCAACCTGCATAAACCTTTGAGTTTGTTATTTAAAAAGCATGACACGTCTAAACAAAATTTCCAATTGGTTAATCGACCGCTGCAATACAGAAACAAACATAAATGTATATTGACTCTAAATGATCCACACAATTTACTTATCACCAGCACACTTAACACAAAATCAGAGTTGTTTAATGATCTATTTCTAAATTTATTGGATACATAGAAGAGCATACGAGATGGATTCGCTTTGTTGCACTATGTTATTTGTTTTTGTCTCACAAAAAACAATGCTGGTTCAATGTATATACCAAATATATATAAGTAAACAACCTACACCGGAAAAAACGAATAATGGGATCATACCTCACTCATAATCATATCTACAATCTTTTGGTCAAATTGTTTCAGTCGTTCATCACATAAAGATGCCTCTGATTTGTTTTCTGCAATGTAGTTTGATGTTGATTTTGATGTAGAATCTGAATCTTTTTCAAATGGTGGGACAAAGTTACCCCGAACACCTCGACTACAATATGAAATATAATATTGATTCATTATCATAAGCAAACGTCGACAAATCTAATAATAAACAATTATGATTTACATATGTCAACCTTTGTTAGCCCATACATATTTATGCTTCCAGATGTGATAGAGAAGTGAACTCACCGAAAGATCTACATATCTAGCTCCACAGAAGCAGGTGAACTGGTATATGCATATTGAATTGGTCAATTATGACAACTTATCGTTTGATAGCATCTACCAGTATGGCTTGGAACAGGACAATACAGACCAATTATGTAACATTCTAAAATATGTAGTAGATACAGATTATTTAGCTTCAGACTTTGACACTTTATAAAGTTCAGCCAAAGATGACAACCTATTTTATATTAGATAAACTTTAGTTATACATAATTACATTTTACTGGAATGAGAAATTAACTAAATATATTTCTTCGATTGATTGAGGTTTTGCAATTAGTGTTTGTGTAAAACAAAAAAAATAAATCATGTGAATCCCATAAACAACAAATGTTAAGCTTCCAATAGATATTTATTCAGTCATAAGCAAACATAGAACCTACCATATATGTGCATTGGTTCAAGTTGCCACGCAATATCAGGAAAGCGACATGCAACTATTAAGAAAAATAAGGGTAGTACAGGTAGTAGTAAAAAATATAGCTCACAGACATGATCCAACAATAAACCATTCGGATAAAAAGTATGAGATAATTTTAAAACTCAAGATCTAGGAGGGAATAAAGAGCGAATAGATTTGCGTCATATCATTTAACTTCTACGACTACCGGTTATCCTGTTTCACAGTTATACAGAATGTACTTTTGTTATGAAGTGATGAAAAAATCCCGGATAGAAAAATTATTTACTTGTTAAATTTACATAACGTTATATATTCGAACTTACCGACTTCCTAAAGATCGTTTAGAGGAGCCATACATCAAAGATATTCTATTGTTATTTTCATTTTGTTTCGATTTCAGATTTTGTTCCAGCTTGAATAATAATAATAACAATGTTAGAACAATGCAAAGTAAAAAATATCTCTCGGAAACCATTTATTTGTTCATATAGACTTGGTAGGTTTAACGAGGTGACAAACCCGAAAGGTAGACATTCATGGAATTTGGCAACTAAATATATCAAAGAAATAGGTTATGGAATTAATTTTAAAACATTTTTAGAATCCAGGTTTTTAGAAGCTCAAACCATCAGAAAATACAAATTCTTCACATATGTTCCCAACCATCCGTTTTCATCCTTATTCTAATGTGGTAATTCTTAATACAATTTTAATGTCAGAGTTATTGTGAGAACTTGTTGTTCCTAGTGTATACTATGTTCTTAATTCCTCTTAAAGCAATTTTGTGGGTGCATTTCGAATACCTTAAATGGAACATTATTTTTTAAAACTGATCTTAATCGACAGCTAGATTGAAAATGGAACCTTAAGTAGTTGTATGTAAGATGTAACAAGTCGCTATGGGCTATGAAGTGCTCGGTTTGCTGAATTTGAGTCAGTATGAAAAGACGCTAAACATACAGACAAACGTTTATACTGACTATTGAAGTGAATCGCATAATCTTCCTTTATATGATTCGCAGGATGATGTGAACCACTGGTTTAAGATCCGAATCATTGTCTTGGAAATGATTGAAATATAGTAAACTAACCTATTCAGTGTCTCTTGTCCACTAACATTTTTATTATTTATTTAAGTATCGTACGATTTCATTGGACATTTACCTGTATGAGCTAGTTATATATCTGGGCACCTGAGTAAATGCAGTTCTGTGTAAAGCTTAACTTTAATACACCTTTTTTTCAAACGTATAAATAATAGTTTATCTTCATTGTTTCATTACCAAAATTCTATTGCAAACGCCTATAAGGATGACAACGAAAGTAAATTGTGATTTCTTACAACAATACATAAAATCTGTACAAAAGTTAATGCATTAACAACGAAGATATACTTATGTGATAAAGAATGATTCCCATTGGAAATCGACACCGTACACAAGAATGTATTTACGGGATAAAAATGACTCAGTTAGTCAGTTGCAATGTCGCATGTACATCAGTTTAAGTTGCCACACTCCACTAGCGAAGAGAAATGAAAATGTCTGGTCAAATCTCAGATAACAACCACTCTCTAATTAAAAAGTAATTTCATAGTTTACATTACGGACTGACTTTATTTAGACAGCCATGAAAAAACTGGATAGATACTTTGTCAATGGCACTGGGGGATGGTTGTATAAAATTACAAATAAATTGAAGTCAGACATTTGAACGATTGGATGCCAACTAAGTTACATAAAGCTTAAGCGTTTGCTAAGAGACCTAACAGTTCTGGGTTCAGTCCCAACTGGGGTCGTAGATACTTGTCACTGAGGTGTGTCACACGGAGACGAAACAGCTATTTAGTGCTTCCTGGTTTCCTGTGATTGAATGTTCACAAATCCCTTTTAGCGAAAAATAATTACTCACCAAGGTTCCTGCTGTTTGAAAAAGGGTAGACTCAGATTCAGTTACTTCAGTGTTATGGTTGTTATTACTGGGATTCTACAGAAAATGATAAATTGACAATCAAATTGAGTCTAATTTACTTTGTAGTAGCTGGTACTTTCTGATTTTTCTAAATGTCTTTTAGGGGAAGAATAATGTTTTTCGAAATCTACTGAAGAACGTTTTTGACCAACAGAAGAGAAATGTACATTTGTGTTTTTAACTGATTCGTGGACCTGTTAGTATCAAAAATGAATTAAAACTATTCCTTATAGTACGGTAAATTATGAAATATATGTAAAACATTATATTAACAGTTATGAATACAACCATAGTGTTTACCGTAATAATATATTGATGACAAAGTATATTTGTGTTATTCTTTATACATGAGTATTACTTCGGAATAATCGTAAAATATATACAGTAAACAAATAAGAATGGCGTTGTAAAGTTGTGAGAAATAAAGTTGGGATTTAAAGAATCTTTGGATGTAGATGAAACAACAGATTCATGGGAGCACGAAGAGAAAGAAACCACATTAGTACATAGGACAGTGAATACGACGATATATGAATTGTTTACGTTAAACTCCTCTTAAGTAAAAATTGAATTCTATATTGTACCAAAATACAATATTGAATAAAGCCATTCATAATAATAATATACGAAGAAAACTAGTTATATGGTTCCAGTTAATGGGTCTTTTTAGTTGACAAACTTGAAGTGAATATACGTTAATACGAAATAGCATTTCAGAGATATTTCACAGCTGAAATGGATCAATATCGACAGAAAACTGTATTTTATCACAATTATATCGTTATATTTTTTTCGGATGGTCGTGAAGAGATTAATTTTTTGAGAAATCGCACGAAAAAACAACACACTTCAACTGATTGATATCGCCATTAATGGAGCATGGTAAATTAAAAATGAGAATTACTGATTATTAACTTTAAAAACAACTATATAATTTAAGCAACCAACTAACCACACTTATCCAAATATATTCTAGATCTATTAGCACCAAAAACACATTTAGTATGAGTAATAAACCAACTACGTACTAAAACGATGATTTTATATTTAAGCAGTAAATTGACTTAACTCTATAAGACACATGCTGCAAAAAAGCCAAACATAGATTCAAGATACAAAACGATTCTAGAATCAATTACACGGAGTTCTTTGTATTCCCGGATCCACTAGTTGGATGTCGGAACGACTCAGTCTTTATCCAACTGATAATCACATACAAGTTGATATATCTCTGGATCAAGAAGAAGGAAGAGCAGCTAGTCCAGATGGATACGTTCCAGAGGTCTTCAAGGATGGTGGTCCAATTTTAGCGACTAGGTTGACTAATGATTTAGCTAAAATCTGGGAGTTTAGAGTAATCCCACATAACTGGTCACGATCACGAATCGCCCCAATATATAAGAAGGGGTCAAACCATTTTGTGTTAACCACAGAGGTATTAACTTGACTAACATAGCATCTAAAATACTAGCCTCAATAGTTATCGGGCGCACAACAAAGACGCGTGAACTGCAAAAACGAAAAAACCAGGCTGCTTTCAGACTTGGTCATGGCTTCACCGACCACATATGCACCATTCGTCAGGTTCTAAAACACAGGCATGCTTATCGGCGTCCGACAATAGTGGACTTGAATTAAAAGCAGCGTTTGACTCTGTTGACCGAGAGGTCCTGTGGCAATGTTTGTTACTGAAAGGCGTATCTCAGAAGTACATAAACGTTGAAGGCACTTTACTCGAACATTATTCGTCAAGTCAGAACTTATGGCTAACTGTCATCTGATTTTGCAACCTCAAGTGGTGTCCCTCAAGGCTGTCAACTTTATCCATTTTTGTTTAAATTCATCATAGACCTACTGATGGAAATAACGTTCTCGTCGACTGAATTCTCGGGTATTGAGCTCCTTCCACGAGGTCCACTTATCGACTTAGAATACGCAGATAACATATTCCTGTTTGGTGAAGACGCTGATGAAATGCACAGTTTTCTGGTAGCACTAAGCAACAATGCCGGGATGTTTGGGATGCGCTTCTCTCCCTCTAAATGCAAATTATTGCTTCAGGACTGGCCTGCGTCAACACCTGAACTAAAGATAGGGAGTGAAGTAGTCGAACGTGTTGACAACGTCACTTATCTTGGAAGTCTGATCAGCCCTAGTGGGTTCGTGTCTGACGAAATCTCAGCACGGATTTGAAAAGCTCGTTTGGCTTTTGTCAACTTACGTCACCTATGGCGCAGACGAGCTATCTGTTTATCAATTAAGGGACGAATATACTGCGCGGCAGTTCGTTCTGTTCTACATCACGGTTTCAAAGCGTGGCCATTAAGAGTAGAAGATACTCGTAAGTTACTAGTATTTGACCACAGGTGCCTTAGAAATATTAAGGGCATCTGCTGGGATCATCGGGTAAGTAATAGTGAGGTTAGACGCAGGGTATTGGGGAATGATGGTAAATCAGTTGATTAGGTTGTTAATCTTCATCGACTGGGATGGTTAAGCCACGTGCTGCGTATGCCTGAACACAGATTACCACGACGCGCAATGGTAACCGGTGTTAGGGATGACTGGAAGAAAGTTAGGGGCGGCCAAACCAAAACGTGGCATCAGTGCTTGAAGTCACTAAGTTCTAGTTTGAGCCATGTTGGTAGATGCAGACTACTTGGTTGGGGTCCGCGTGACTATCGTAACCAATGGTTGGAGACTCTTGGTGACATGGCTCAGAATCGATCACAATGGCGTCGGTGTATACACTCATTCTTCCTTTAAACTAAGAGATTAAAATCGCTTCATATCTTTCTTTCTACGAACTAATTCTTTCTTCCTGTACTATATCCTTATATGCAATCTTTCATTTTTATATATTACTACCATTGGATTAACTACTTCTATGAATCCGGTGTTCATCTTGCTATGCTAATGAGGTATGGCAACTTGGACCGGTGCATATATGTGCCTGGTCCTACGTTGTAGCTGACTGACTGATCTTGATTTTAAGTCGTTAAATAACAATCGTTCGTAAAGACAAAGGTCTTTAAAGAACTCTACGAGCTCAAATATCACAAATCACTATGCCAAACAACTCGCAACCTCTTAAAGGGTTTACGAAAACTATGGTAAGAGGATAGAATCCTTCACATACCTGGGAAGCATCGTCGATAAACAAGGAGGTTCAGATGCAGACGTCAAGGCGAGGATTGGTAAAGCTAGAGCGGCATTCCTTCAACTGAAGAACATATGGAACTCAAAACAACTTTCAACCAATATCAAAGTCAGAATCTTCAATACCAACGTCAAGGCAGTTCTACTGTACGGAGCTGAAACTTGGAGAACTACAACAACCACCATCAAGAAGGTACAGGTATTTATCAATAGCTGTCTACTCAAGATACTCAACATCCATTGGCCAGATACCACCAGCAACAGCCTTTTGTGGGAGAGAACCAACCAGCTTCCAGCTGAAGAGGAAATTAGGAAAAGACGATGGAAATGGATAGGACATACATTGAGGAAATCATCAAAATGCATTACGAGACAAGCGCTAACTTGGAATCCTGAAGGGAAGCGGAAAAGAGGAAGGCCAAAGAACACATTACGTCGGGAAATAGAAGCAGATATGAAAAGGATGAATAAGAACTGGAAAGAGCTTGAAAGGATTGCCGAGGACAGGGTTGGATGGAGAAAGCTGGTGAGCGGCCTATGCTCCTTCTCGAGGAGTAACAGGCGTAAGTAAGTAAGTATGGTAAGAGAACTAACTAGATAGTTTGGGAAAATCTGAGATACGGAGAACTTTCCATCATATTGAAGTGAAGCGATCGTTTTTACCATATGTAAAATAGGCCTATGTACTTTATGTAACAATTGTCACGGTACAAGCTTGTTCTATATTTTGTTTGGGGCCTTTGGCATCCATTATATTCAGAAGACTGAAAAATTACTCCAACTATTCCAACAGAAACAGGACAATTTTCTCTCAGATCATAGGAACACTGACTATATTTTCAAGCTGCGACACCTCTACATTTACTGTAGGCCAATAACATTTGTTTTTCGATATCAAAGCTATCGTCAACTAGTTTGACAGAACGCTCTGCAATCGTCTATTGAAGATGGATATGCCTGAGAAGCTTATTAACATCTTTGAGAATGAAAATAAACATAATGATTTTTCTCTTATTCTAATCCAGCAGTAAGGTTAAACAGGGTCGCTCAATCTCATCACTTCTCTTTAATTTTCCCAATAATATTCTGGAAACTGCTCTTAAAAAGACGTGGTGATGATGATGTGAATCCATTGAATGAAGACACTTCGGTCTCTAATACACAAACGAAATTGTTTTACTGTGCGGTGATACACAAGTTATCCAATTAGTGTTTGTAAGTGACGTGCGTTGCATGTTGAAATTTCAAAGTACTTCTGTAAGCCTGTTCTTGCACGCATCTTTTGTGAACTGTTGGGATCAGTAGAAAACCTTGCATCCGAGTGGTGTTATGAGTGCTGTTAGTTACGTAATAGATAGGATCAATCTATCAAGAGATAGAGAGGTTATGTCTATCTACGTCATTCTTGGTGTCATCTTGATACTAAACTGACTGTAAAGGTACAGTATAAATAAACAGATCTGAAAGGGTGTGCAACGGGATTAGAGAGTGGTTGAATGTCACACAACCCTTCATATGGGCAATTATACATGTACTAGTAGTCTACTGCTCATATTTTAGATGAGAATGAATTTGTTACCTGGTTAGAAGAATCTTCTCCCTTGAACAGTTCAGTTAACATGCTACAAACTAATAACAGTTAATTTTGAAAAATGAGTAACATACACTTAGTAACATCAAAGTCACTAGGTAATGATTGATTTGGGAAGAGAGAAGATTGTTTGACAGTCTATAGTGTACGGTAAGAACAAGCAAAACTTACAACTCCTTCGAGTGCATTTAAGGCCCTGTCGAATGTCATCGCACTACGCCAGTGGTTGCTCTCTGAAAACGTATATATAAAAAGAACAAAACAAACCATTTTTACAGCCTTCAGCGAGCCTGAGTGCTCCCTCAGCGTAATTATTAATCCCTACAAATCAGAAAGCACAATTCAGTACCTACCATTCTTCATGTTATCAACCAATTCAGCATATTCACTAAGAAGCAAGTCAACATCAAAAGCATTAAGTCTAAGAATGTAAAATTCAGTCATTAAAAAACCTTTCAGGAAGTTGTGAAAAAAGTATTCTCCGTATATATTCAGCTCTATTTTCTTTATTTACTTCAGACATTATTGGAGTAGGACGCTGGGAGAAGTCAACTGATGACTTAATGACACCAAGATTCGTCTAATCCAGTAATATTATGGTCAGGAAGCAAATTGAAGAACCTGGAAACAAACAAAGGAATGGTCAAATGGATTTAGTCAGCAGAGATTAAGGTATATTGTTCATTATCCCAAATAACACTCGGGATGGTATAAAATTACACGACTCTCAATCACTCATCCACAGCAATTAACAACCAACAACTCAAGAAACTAATAACAAGAAAAACTTTGGAATGTCGTCATTGTTTCACTAAGGTAAATTAGTATAGCCATTATATTTGCTTAGATGTCTCAATAGAAATGATGAAAACTTATTCGTACGATTCCAAAATGTCGGAATTGGTGATTACAAAGTAGCACAAGCATTTTATGTGACATTAGATTGCTGGCAATCTCAAGTCGGATCATTTTCGAAATAGAATTCCGAGTTTGGGTTTAAGTAAACAGAATTATAAGATCTATTTTATTTCCCAAGTTAATTACATGTAAGTAATTTAGACCTACTTCGTTTAGGAGCAGTCGGATCACTAACGTTGTGTAAGTTTCTCAGGATTTTTATACTTATATTTTGTCTATATGGTTTGTACATTTTATAAGACAATAACTACATAAACCAATCTGTTTTGCAAAAATCGAATCTAAAAGTGTGATGCCAGAAATTCTCTCCGTTTTGTGGACATAAGTGTGATTAAAAAAGCTATCTCCATTCTCTTAGGTTTGATGGATCTCAAATATTTGATAATATCGAAAATTCTAAAACCGGTGAGTTCATTGATTGCGATTTCTATCTCAACTGTTATGTCAGTACTATTACGACTGCAAAATGCCTAACTGGATTGACTTAGTATTATAAACCCTAGATCCGACGATGCGTAGTTAGATTTTAAAAAAACGCAGTCATTAATATTTAACATATTTGCCATATTATACAACTATTTTGCATTTATGGTTTGAAAAACTTTCGTGAGGTGAAAAGTCAAAATCAGGATTATCAGTACTTCGGACCGAAACCACTGCCGACAACCCACTGAAACCTGATTATCAGGTAAAACTTGTAGCTGCAAAAATCCTACCTCATAAGTTTTGCTCTAATCTAAAATTTAAACAATTCTAATGCATCATTTGCATGAAGTATACTTTATGTGGACGATGTTATTGTAATAATGCCTACGTTCATAAATTTTTAAAACGGTTCCCCCAGAATTTACCCAAAACAGACAATTTTCCACAAAATAAGGAGATTAGATCGAATCTCCATGGATTCATACTTGTTCGCCATTGACCACTACAGTTAATTGTTCTGAATGTATCAAAAACTGACATAACTTAAAAAGCAAGACGCGAAAAAGTAGTTCCTATTGGTGAAGGACGTGAAGACAAAGACAAACCCACACAACCTAAGCAGCACCCTCAAGGTCACATCAGGCGATTCCAAATAACGAGGCGTTTGACAAGTCTTTCAAAATCCGTTAAACAAAAGGAAAAAGAGCAAAAGACTCGAGGTTTAGGTTAAACCTCAAAATTTATGAAGGTATTATCATTTCGGGATTTCAAATGCGAAACTTTTGTCTTAAACCAATTGTTTAACTGGACAGTTATTTTTGTCTTTAGTTGTAACCCAAGCTCCCAAATTTGGCGAAATTTCGAGGGTTTTGTGCCATTTACCTAAAATTTCTTTAAAGTTTACTATGGCGGCTACCTCAAAATGGGTCAAATTTTCCACAAAATTGGGAGATTGGGAATGAAAGGAGGTTTATCGAGCTCTTCTTTGTAATTTGTAACACCGAGAAGGTCCAATCTCACTTTGAATGTATCAACTGAGGGTTATGATATTAAATGTTCTGGTAGAGAATTCCAGTAATTTGCTGTTCGATGCGAGAAACGGAACGCCATATGAAAATACTTACGAATAGCCCATAAGTCTCAGAAGGCTTTTGGACAGGGGCAGCCTTGCAGTTACTCGTAGTTTGAAGGTCTTTAGTTATTATGATTCCTAGATCTTTATAGTCCATTATCTAAGGTAACAAAACTTCAAATACCGTGTAATGATATGAATCATTCCAGTTATTATATTGCAGTATTTTACTCTTGTTAAAGTTAACTTGTATTGACCAACTGTTGATCCATGCATTCAATGAAATAGGGTCATCCTGTGATATTATTCTCTATGACATACTGTGTATGGGTCTCCTAGTCTTTAAATAATCGGAGAAGTGTAGAGCGGATGATATTGCTACAGTTGGCAATCCATTTACAGAAATAAAAAAATGAAGAGGACCAACGATTTCACCCTTGGGAACTCCATTTTTTCAGGCTTTCATGCTGAGAGAGCTACATTCACTCTTACATGCTGTCTCCTATTACTGAGATATTCACTTATCTAATTTACGATATCATAATGGATTTCAAAACATTTCAATTTTCATTTAAGACCCAGATTAGAAACATTGTCAAAGGCTTTACTTACACCTGTGAAGACTACATCTACAGAAATATTTCTATCTTTCGCTGCAGCCCACTTGTTTCTTACAGTGAGCAAATTTGTAGTGCATGATAAGACTATCATAAAACTATTTTGCTCCACGAATAAAAGATTCTGCCCCCCGCATGATTTAAAAATAACCACTTGTATAGTACTTTCCATTAGTTTTACAACTACACAGGTCAGATTAAGGAGTCGGTAGTTACTAAATAAGTCTGATCACCACAACAAGAAGACTACGTGCCAGTTAAACGGTAAGATCCTCCGTAGGCCGAATATCAGAAGGCAGTTGATGGCTGTAGTCGAGATGTATTTGCTGGCGATCTCGTGGTATCGAAAGAATACCGAGATCGGACTAGACTACAAGTGGGGTTACTGAGCGTAACAGAATTGTACAAGGTCAAAGTCAATGGAGGGAGAATAATGGCTGTCTTTAGTACAGTAAAACAAACGAGCACAGCGAAACAATCACTGGTACAATTGGTCATAATAATGATTGTTTACATTAAACCAACCGCGTTTTATTGATAAAAATAGGTCACTACAAGTTTATACAAACACCACACAAACTCTTCACTAAAATATTTCGGTAAAGCTTCGGCTTTTGTAACATCATATCTTGCCAACATAATCAGATTTTCCTGCGCCGAATGTGGTGGGATTTTGTATCTCTCCTGAGTTTACCTCTGTACATTTGAGAATAATCTTTTCCCATTATTATCATAGTCCCTAACCAATTATTTTTCATACAAGCGTTCCTATTTTGCAATAAATGGATCTCTTCTATTCTGAACATGAAGATATGAACGTACTCCAGTGCTTTTTTCTATGTCTAAGTTTCTTGACTTGTTTAGTTATTCGTGGGGGACATTTTTTAGATCTACATTGTATTAAGCGTGATATAAAACGGGACGTTCCTAGATTAAACCGAACTTTAAATATAGATCACTTCCCTTAAACTGATGAGCCAGTGTCTAGTGACCAGCATGTTGTTTCAGCTCACTCCTGAATAGTTGATATGTTTCCATCCACGTATTCGGGCATGGTTTAACCTGATCGTATATTGTGTCATAAGTTTTTAATGTGATCGACAATACAGCATCGTCGCTATTTGCTAACGGTGGGAGAACATTTAGATAGGCAATACAATCGGTCATATGAGTGATTTAAATTCTAACAGAAAAAATCTTTAGTTTGAAACAAAATTTATGGGTTCAAATATATACTGTACTAAAGCATGCTTCATTACCGTTATCAGGAACCTACCACCGAAGAATTTTACAGATCCTACGGCAGCCATCTCAGTTTCACTAATGTCAGGTGCATTAAATATTCTTATATCAGGCATCCATTATTTTTAATCCATAGCCAAATGTGCTCTAAAATATAGTTATCAGCTAAGCAGACCGGGTTACGATAGATGACGTCGAATACAGGTGCGCAATATTCAAAAGTGAGTTCACAGTTGATGTCTTCTTAAGTTCCACCATCATCCGGTTCACAAAGAAAGGAACGGTTGTTTATATTATTAGCTATGTATGTTAGGGATACACCATCCTTTATGCTTCTATTCCTATCACGTTGAAGCCATGGACTAACCAATTGCCGGTCATAGCCAGGATGACTAGATTTAAATCGTTCACTAATTCTCCTAGTTCACATAAGTTATTCCTTAGATTATGAGCATTTGCAAATAAAACTGTTGAAGAGAACGACCTATCCGTGCAGGCCTTGGTAGCAATCTATGATAATTAGAAGTAATTGAATTATAGTATGGACTAAGAATCCCAGGGATAACGCAATTGAATCAAGAAGTACTACACAAGCACTAACGAATGTACTGTATTTAGAATTCGAAATCAAACATTCAACAAGTACAAAGGAGTCATTATTTCATTCAAACACCACATCCGCCACAGCTTAAATTAGAGTCTAAGTGTCTGTAATCAATTGTACGTCTTCTCCTCAAGTTCATGCTGTGTCTGTCCGACAATGTATTGGATAAAGACTCTGTATTATCTAGAATGCACTCATTATTATTAGAATAAACAACTGAAATCGGAACAGACTCACTTGATTTCTGGGATTGTGTACAATCATCATGTCGGTTGAGTACTGAAAGTACTGCTACCTAGAATTTGAACCATAGACATTCAGACTATCCTCCCCCACGAAATAATGTCGGATCTTCATATCCCCAAGTTATGAATAATGTGGCTTCATTTAAAACATCTTTCTCAATTTGACTAGAGTAAACATTGGAAGTGAATTTATGATAAGGACAAACAATAATTGACATGGAATCATCTGAATTGTAATCAGACTCTAACTCATTTATTACTCGTGCTTCGCATTGAACAAGTTTCTCACAAGAAACAAATGCATCATGAGGACAAATAATATTTGATATGACACCAAGATTCGATTTTTCTGAAATAGTTTACTCGAATTTATTAAGAATGTCATTGCAGAGTAAAGGATCGTTAAAAAAATCAGCATCAATCAAAACTACATCAGTTTTTTTATCATCATTAGGTTCATTCGAAATATTTTCACCAGATTTGTAAGAAATTTCACCAGAAATATGTGAATCATTAGGAAAAACCATATCTGGTACAATAACATGAGAAATCTGATATGTTGATTCATTAGAAATTGTTGTCTCGCAAGAATTCTGAGTTTCATTTAACTCTAAACTGCTATATGACTCTAAACTGTCTTTTGAAATCGTCGATAAAGATGAATGATCATTATAAATATTCAAATTAATAGAATCAGAATCAAAAGACTTAATATTAGTTGCAGCAACATGAACAGTAGTATTACAAACTGACTGAATATGTCCAACATCAACACATTTAAAGCACTTACAATTACGAAATTTACATGAATTAAAAGGGTGGAACTTGCCACAAGAAAAACAATGACTAAACTTGTGCCCATCTTCGTGAACTGCACAACCTTGAGTATGCACTAGGATGGGGTGACGTAATGTAGTGGAATCTTTTATATCCTCATAAATTATTTTACGAAATCTCCCTTTACCGCATTCGAAATTTGTATACTTTGCATAGTCTAGAAGTAGTTCCTTGAGAGTTGTATAAGGAAGAGAAATGGGCTTTTCCGGTGAAGCCGAAATTTTTAATAAGCCATATGCTTCTTTTCCAATGAATGTGAGAAAATGTGCCACAATATTAATATCCTCATCATCTTTCTTGGTCATGCTCCAGATTTCAAACCTTTCCAAATAGTCCTCAAAATCTTCAGAAGTTGAATGAATATCTAAGTGTTCCATCGCAGGCTCCATCGCGACGCCAATATGATAATTAGAAGTATTTGAATTATAGTATGGACTAAGAATCCCAGGGATAACGCAATTGAATCAAGAAGTACTACACAAGCACTAACGAATGTACTGTATTTAGAATTCGAAATCAAACATTCAACAAGTACAAAGGAGTCATTATTTCATTCAAACACCACATCCGCCACAGCTTAAATTAGAGTCTAAGTGTCTGTAATCAATTGTACGTCTTCTCCTCAAGTTCATGCTGTGTCTGTCCGACAATGTATTGGTAAAGACTCTGTATTATCTAGAATGCACTCATTATTATTAGAATAAACAACTGAAATCGGAACAGACTCACTTGATTTCTGGGATTGTGTACAATCATCATGTCGGTTGAGTACTGAAAGTACTGCTACCTAGAATTTGAACCATAGACATTCAGACTATCCTCCCCCACGAAATAATGTCGGATCTTTATATCCCCAAGTTATGAATAATGTGGCTTCATTTAAAACATCTTTCTCAATTTGACTAGAGTAAACATTGGAAGTGAATTTATGATAAGGACAAACAATAATTGACATGGAATCATCTGAATTGTAATCAGACTCTAACTCATTTATTACTCGTGCTTCGCATTGAACAAGTTTCTCACA